AAAACACATGCCCGCGCCTTGCTGCGCCGATGCGAGACCGCCAGTGGAACCCCAGCCAAGGGTAAAGCACAAGGAAATTTCGAGCGACATGATTGGTTTGGTGGGAATGGGGGCTGTCGGCGGCGAGGCAAGGACCTGGCCCTGAATAGAAAGGGAGGACGTCTCGAGCAGGGGTGCTGTTGTTGCTGGGAGCGGCGCCAATACAGAAGAAAGTCGGGCGCTACTCCAGCGTAGAACAAAAACGAAGTCTCGATCGGGAGCGCTGGTTCTGTTGGGACGGCGGTTGTCGGCGGCGAGGAGGAACACCGCCTTCAGCAAGGAGGGAAGAAGTCTCGAGGACGGGGGCTGCCGGCGGCGAGGAAGAGCACCGTCCCGAGGAAAAAGGGAGGAAGCCTCGAGCGGGAACGTTGTTCTGGCTGGGGTCGGCGCCCATTCGAAAGAGATCAGGGCGCCGGTCCAGCGTAAAACGGGTTGAAGTCTCGAACGGAAGCGCTGGTTTTCGGCGGCGGCTTTCGGCGGCGAGCAAGAGCACCGGCTCTGAGTTTTTTTTAAAAAAAAAAACAAGGAAGTCTCGAGCGGGAGCGTTGCTTTTGCTCGGGGCGGCGCCGATGTGAGAAAGAGTAGCGCGCCAGTCCAGCGTAAAGCGGAAAGAAGTCTCGAGCGGGAGCGCTGGTTTTGTTTGGGCGGCGGTTTTCGGCGGCGAGCAAGAGCACCGGCTCTGAGTGAAAGAGGAGGGAGTCTCGAGCGGGAGCGTTGTTTTTGCTCGGGGCGGCGCCCATTCAAAAAGAAAGTAGTGCGCCAGTCCAGCGTAAAACGGGAGGAAGTCTTGAGCGGGAGCGCTGGTTTTGTTTGGGTGGCGGTTTTCGGCGGCGAGCAAGAGCATCGGCTCTGAGTGAAAAAAGAGGAAGTCTCGAGCGGGAGCGTTGCTTTTGCTCGGGGCGGCGCCTATTCAAAAGAAAGTAGGGCGCCAGTCCAGCGTAAAACAGGAAGAAATCTCGAGCGGGAGCGCTGGTTTGGTTTGGGCGGCGGTTTTCGGCAGCGGGCAAGATCACCGGCTCTGACTGAAAAAGGAGGAAGTCTCGAGCGTTGTTGTTGTTGGGGGGCCGGTTGTGGCGGTCCCCCAAGCCGCTTGAGAGTGAGCCTCGTTTTCACTGGAAGTGCAGCAGGCGTTTCGGCGAGAGCGCCAGGGCGCCTGTAAGGGGCCCAACAATAATACTTCTATGGTAATTAACACTCAACAATAACATCGTCATCATCATCAACAGCAACAACAACAGCAGCAACAACAACAGCAACAACATCATCATCATCATCCTCATCATCATCATCATCGTCATCATCATCATCATCATCATCATCATCATCATCATCATCATCATCAGCAGCAACAACAGCAACAACAACAGCAACAGCAACAGCAACAGCAACAACAACAACAGCAGCAGTAACAGCAACAGCAACAACAGCAGCAACAACGCGGGACCCACGCAGCGGGCCATGGTCAGCTCTGGCAGCGGGGGCCCACCCTCCGAGCTCCGGTGGCCCCCTGACGGCGTGGTGGTGACCCCACCGGAGGAGGAGGAGGAGGAGGAGGAGGAGGAGGAGGAGGAGGAGGAGGAGGAGGAGGAGGAGTGTTCCTCGGCTCCTGGAGGATCATCTGCCCCGGGGCACGCTGCGGCAGCTGCGCTCCTCGCCGCGAGCGTCCCTCTGGGGCTGCCCTGAGCGCCCCCTCGGGCCGCAGGATACCCGAGGCATGGCCGAGGAGCCCCGCCACGCGGAGGAGCGCCGGTGTCACGGGCTCCCAATGGCGGTGTGGTGACAGGCGCCGTGTGGTGAGTCGGTGGAGGCGTGGGGCCGCCGCGCGGGGTTGGAACTCGGGCCGCGCCCTCCGAGAGCGTCTCGGGCGGCTGGGGCCTCCGAGGTCCCGAGGCCGTGCGACGGCGGGCCGCGCGGCGACGTCCTCGGAGAGGCCGAGGTCGCCGCGCGGTCTGCCGCCTCGGCGGCCTCGGAGCCTCGTGCCCGACTGCGGGCGGAGCGGGGCGCAGGCGGCGGGCCCTCAGCTCCGCCCCGCCCCTGCGCCCGCAGGAGTGGCCTCCGGGAGCTTCGGTGGGCCGGGCCGCGATTGGCGCGCGCGGCCGCGCGCGCGGCCGAGGACTGGAGGAAGGGGAAGGGGGGGGCCCAGGCCGCCCCCCTGGCCACGAAGAAAGTCGTGGCGGGAGGCTTTTCGCTATCTTCGGCCTCTGGGGGCCCTGACCTCCTCCTCCTCCTCCTCCTCCTCCTCCTCCTCCTCCTCCTCCTCCTCCTTTGGATTGAAAACCGGTCCCGCGGACGGGGGAGGAGGAAAAGCATTGCCTGAGCGCCCCGTGCTGCGTACACGACGCCGCACGGCTGTCGCTCGAAGTGGCGCGGCCTACCGGCACGGCTCTCGAGCCAGGGCTCCCAGTCCCCGAGCTCCCTCGAGCACTGGCCGCTCAGAAGGGGGCGGGGGGAACTCGGGGCCGTGCTACCGGGGAGCTGTCCGGACGCACCCCGTTGAGAATGGGCGACTTCCCCCATCGCATCTTCCCGGGTGAGCCCCATTTCCTTTGTCGGGCCAGACACCCCCCCGAAAGAAAGGGAGAGGCGCCGCCATGCCCTCCGTTGGACCCAGCTCTTTCTCCCGCCTCCGCAGCGCCGCAGCAACAGCAGCGGGGCGGCACAGGCTGGGCGCGCCGGGGCACACTGCGATCGAGTGCCGAAGGCCATCGAGCAGGGGTCGCGCTCTCTGGGGATGGGGGCGGGCCAGTGCTATGCAACGACCAGGCTTTCCTCCGACAGCGCGGCGGGGTGCAGGCATGCAGCCGATGCTGACGGGATGTGGAAGCGACGGCCTGCCACGAAATGTCTCGTCCACGGCGGCTGGAGCAGACGTGCGATCCCAGGCGAGGGGCGCAGGAAGAGAAGCGAGTGAAGCCGGCGCGCCGTGGAGGAGGACGCATGCATTTGTTTTGGAATCATGAATTTTGGGGTTCCCGGTGGATAATGAAGATATTTCCTGCCAAGTCGCAGCAAGTTCCCGGGGGTCGCAGCATGTACGATAGCAGCAGCAGCAGCAGCAGCAGCAGGGGCAACATCAGTAGTAGTCGTAATCGTAGTAGTAGTAGTAGTAGTAGTAGTAGTAGTAGTAGTAGTAGTAGTAGTAGTAGTAGTAGAAGAAGTAGTAGTAGTAGTAGTTAGTAGTAGTAGTAGCTGTAGCAGTTGCAGTAGCAGTAGCTAGTAGCAGTAGGTAGTAGTGTAGTAGTAGTTGTAGTAGTAGTTAGTAGTGTTAGTATAGTTAGTAGTAGTTAGTGAGTATTAGTAGTAGTAGTATGTAGTTGTAGTATAGTAGTAGTTAGTAGTTGTTGTAGTGGTAGTAGTGGTAGTAGTAGGTAGTAGTGGTTGTGGTGGTAGTAGTAGTAGTAGTAGTAGTAGTAAGTTGGTGTTGTTGGTGTTGTAGTTAAGTTGTTGTTGGTGTTGTTGTAGTAGTTGTAGTTGTAGTTCTTGTAGTTAGTAGTTGTAGTTAGTTGTTGTAGTTGTAGATAGTAGTTAGTTAGTAGTTAGTAGTAGTAGTAGAGTTAAGTTTAATAGTGTAGTTGTAGGTTGTAGTAGTTGTATAGTAGTAGTAGTAGTAGTAGTTAGTAGTCGTAGTTAAGTAGTAGTTCGTTAAGTTCTAGATACTAGTACTAGTACTAGTACTAGTACTACTACTAGTACTAGTACGAGTACTAGTGGTAGGAGTAGTAGTAGTAGTAGTAGTAGTAGTAGTAGTGGTAGTAGTAGTAGTAGTAGTCGTCGTAGTAGTAGTAGTACGAATGGTAGTAGTAGTAGTAGTAGTAGTAGTAGTAGTCGTCGTAGTAGTAGTATTAGTAGAAGTAGTAGGAGTAGTAGAAGCAGTAGAAGTAGTAGAAGTAGTACGAGTAGTAGTAGTAGTAGTAGTAGTAGTAGTAGTAGTCGTAGTAGTACTACTAGTAGTAGTAGTACTAGTACTAGTACTAGTGGTGGTAGTAGTAGTAGTAGTAGTAGTAGTAGTAGTAGTAGTCGTAGTCGTAGTCGTAGTAGTCGTTGTCTTCGTGTCGTTGTCGTTAGTAGTCGTAGTAGTCGTAGTAGTCGTAGTAGTAGTAGTAGTAGTAGTAGTAGTAGTAGTAGTAGTAGCAGCAGCAGCAGCAGCAGCAGTAGTAGTAGTAGTAGTAGTAGCAGTAGTAGTAGTCGTAGTAGTACCAGTAGTAGTAGTGGTAGCCTGAGGCTGGGCGCTGCTTGGGTGGCCCATGTCACGGGCTGTGTCATAGGCTGCGCCATGTGTATCATTGAGCGTGTTGCGCCATTAATTCTGCCTTGGACGCCGCCATGGGTCATGAGTTGCGTTTTCGATTGCCCCATGGGTTTGGCCAAAAGTTGCGGCAAATGCTGCGCCACGGACTGAGCCAAAGGTTGCGGCGCAGGCCGCGCCGTCGGTTCTGGCATGTGGTGCGGTATGAGTGGCACCGCGTTGCGCCAGTGGATGCGGCACGGGTGGCGCCATCGGTGTCGCCATCGGCCGCCGAATGTGAAGCCGTCCCGAAACGGGTGCGACTGTCAGTCCAGCAGTCTCACCGAGCATCGGATTCGGGATGCGCCAGAAGTTCGAAAAGGCCAGAAAAAAACAACGGACAGCATCTTGTGACATGTGTGGTTGGATGAAAGACGTGTTCATGGCACGATGGTTGTTTGAAGTAGCCTCGTTGCTATGACCTGCAATGTTTTTTCGGTGCAGGCTTCAATGAAACGTGCACGCCCCAGTTCGGAACAGCCGTCGCGGTGGCACTCGCCATCGCGCAGACCCGCGGTCGGGAAATGTTGCTCCAGCCCGTCGGTGCCAGTGCGCGGTGCAGGAGTCGGCCGGCCACCCGTCCTGCCACCCCCGTCACCTACTTTCTCGAGGCGCTCCCTCGCGCACTCTTGGTCACTCGTGCCGCCTCGCTGGCGCCGCCCCCATGTCGGCTCAGGAGCCGCTTTGCGGAGCGCTCCGGCGGCGGCCAATCCCACCAGCCGCGATGCTCTGCGTCAGGCGCCCCGTCCTGCTTCCTCCGACCGCTTCCTGTGGCGCGCGCCGCGTCCGGCTGGCAGCTCGAGGGCTTCCGCTGGCCGAGCGCGCGCGCGGACGAGGACATACAGTGGAGGCGCATGCCAAGAAGCACCTTGCTTGCCTCCAGGGTGCCCTGGGTTTATCTGGTTTCGATGGTTTCGCCTATTATGGAAAGCGTGACGGTTCCTCACCATAAATCTGTGGGCCCAGTGGGGGGCTCACTTAGGGTTGGGTTTCTCGTGGAAGGTTTCTTGTGGTGAGGCCCCTTCTGTACCGTTAAGACGCTGAAATATGGACCCCTTTGGGCTCAGGAGGAGTTCTGGTTTTGGACCGGTCCACAGATTTGGGTCGGGGAGCCTATGCGTTGCCGAGGCTCGCCGTGGCCAGAAAAGCCCCTTCGCTCCTTCTTCAGCGTTCCGCGTGGCAGCGCGAAAACCTGTACGGTGGGTGCGTGGGGGGGGGCGGGCGCTCTTGATGTCGAGCCCTCCTTCGGAGGCGGGGATTTATCCATAACCACAGCCTGGGGGATCGATCTTCGAGGACCTCCACAGGCAGTGGATATAACTAGATTGATTCGGGCCCCAAGGCGGTGGATGTGGATAAACCCCCTTCTCGCTTTCCTTTTCCGTTCATAGCGTTTCGCTAGTTTTTTTTTGGTTATTTTATTTTTTTTTATTTTTTTTATTTTAGATTATAGATTTTTTTTTTTTTGTTTTGTCTTTTTTTTTTTCTTTTTTTGTAATATTTTTTATATTTTTTTTTTTTTTTTTTTTTTTTTTGTTTCGCTAGAAGGTTTTACACAGAAGAGTCCCACAGGGTGGACGGGGAGCGCAGAGACGTTTGGTCCAGCAGCCGTTTCCCCTGGGACTTCCCGAGCAGTTATTCACGAATCGCGGGTTCGCTTCAATGCCGGCTACATCCTTGGCCCAGATAGCCACGACACCTTTGAAATGTACATTCAGGCGCAAAAGAGGCCCACAGGGGGGACGGGGAATTCATCTTTCCCCAGTTAACTGGGCCATTTCCCGATACGATGGGTCTTCCCGGTACATTGCTTCAAACTTTGCATGAAGTGTTACTTTTCTGAGAAGCTCAGCCTGGAGGCTCCGTAGATGCTCCTTAGAGACTCGTTCGAAGGTCGTAGAAGTCCTTGGAAGCTCCTTGGATGCGAGGCTCACCAGAGACTCCTCAGAGGCTTCTTAGAGGTTCCTTGAGGCTCCTCCGAGGCTCCTCAGAGGCTCCTTAGAGGCTCCCGAGAGGCTCCTTTGCTCCTTGGAGGATACTCATTGGCTCCCTAGAGCGTTCTCTGGGGATTCCTAGATTCTCCTTCGACGCTCCTCAGAGGCTCCTCAGGGGCTCTTCAGGGGCTCCTTCAAGGTTCCTTAGATGGTTCTTAGGGGCCCGTCAGGGGCTCCCTGGATGCTCCTCCGAGGCTCTTTAGACGTTCCTTACTCCTCACAGGCTCCTTAGAGGCGTTTGAGAAACTCCTCCGAGGGTCTTTAAAGGCTCCCTCGAGGCTCCTCAGAGGCTCCCGAGAGGTTCCTTCGAGACTCCTTCGAGACTCCGTAAGGGCTCCTCAGAGGCTCTGAAGAGGCACTCTAGAGGCGCCTCCAAGCCTTCATCAAAACAGTGAGATAACCGCTGGCGCTCTTGTAGTTTCGCCCTGCGTAGGGTCAGGAACAATTGGATAGCGTGTCGCTCAGACGGTTCTGGCCCACCACGCTTCGGCGCGGCACGCTATCCCCCTCGCGGTCCCCAGGCATCAAAGTCCCGAGTGTTCCGAGTCACGCTATCCGTTCGCAAGGCGTAGCGTGTCGCCAGGGCTACCGTGGCGGCACTCGATCCAAAAGCTCCTGACCGTAGCGTATGGTGAGAGAGGATTGCAAATCATTGTGCAGTTCTGTGAGGCCCCGTGGTGTATGCATTCCCGCGTGTTTCACATACGAGTCAAAGCTTCCCATCACCGTTATGCAGTTAGCGTCGTACATCCCATAGTTGTTCCTTCTGCAGCTTGTCAGCTCTTCCCCCAAGCTCAGCGATCGTATAGGTTCACAGCAACGTGCCAACGCACCCCTGCAGCATGCCAATCGCAATTTTGATAATGAGACGGCCCCAAGCTGTGGCGCATGAGGAATTCTGGAAAGGGCATGTTCTTTCAGGGATCGAGAAGTTGGCAGATCTTTCTCGGCGGAAGACGGCGGAAGGGCGGCGGAAGCTGGCGGAAGGCAAGCGAGGGCGGCTCCGCAAGCGGAAGCCGGCGGAAGGTTGGCGGAAGCCGGCGGGAACAGGAGCTTGCCGTCCGAAAGATGATAGCTTTTCGGGGGTTCAGGGTTTCCGGAACCCGCCATGAGGGTAGGTTAGGCGCTGGCAGCGCCTCGACGTGAGCCAGCCACGCGCAGGGGAGGGGGGGAGGCTATTAGGAGGCGCTGGCCTTGCCTTCAGATGCAGGGCTGGCGCCTTCCAAGAAGCGGCCTCCTTTTAAAAGGCCTGTTCCCCTCCCACTGTCCCCATGCGTTCGAATGCAACTCCTGGGGGGTCAACTTCTGACTTTGCCCTGGTCCGAAATCCGGCTTGGTCTGGCTCGATCCCGCTACATCCCGGTTGAGCCGGCTTAATCCCGTTGAATCGGCTGCCTGATCTGGCGCAGTAGCCCCCCAGTGGAGTTCAATTCTCCTCAACGCTTCCGACGAAGACCTCCCAGTATGGTGGGGGCGTTCGTTAAGGAATGTGCTCAGGAGGTCTCAGCCCCTGAAGGATTCCTCATCTGATGAGAGCAGCGGTGATATCCATAGCCAATCCACGATCAGAGCTCCACGGGCTTCCAGACCCTGGAGTCCTTATCCAAGGGTTCCTTATCCGATGCCTTCACGGTAGTTGCCTCCTAGCTTGTGCGCGCAGCAAAGTCAGAGCGCAGCGGTGCGAGCAGTGCAGCGTCGGGCGCATCACCGCCTGGACCGAGCCCCGGCCCTGCGGGTGCGGCCCCTCCGCTATTCTGCTGCCGCGGGCCACCATGGTGCGGTAAAAAAGTCGTTCTTTTGAGGCGGATGGGTGGGAGGGGTGGGGGGGGGGAAAAAATGTGGCGTAGGCGAGGATGTTCATTTGGAGGGGGTACAGTTTCTGTTCGAGGTGGGAGGGTGGAGGAGGAGGGAGGGAGGAGGAGGAGGAGGTAGGAGGAGGAGGAGGGGGAGGAGGAGGGGAGGCGGTAGGCGGAGGCTGGAGGCGGAGGCGTGAGTGAGGAGCAGGAGGGAGGAGGCGGTCGGAGGCAGAGGAGTGAGGATGAGGATTAGAAGACGATGATATGATGATGAGTATGATGATGATGAGAGATGATTGATGATGATGATGATTGATGAGGATGATGATGATGATGAGGAGAGATGTGATGATTTTGAGAGATGATTTTGGCCTGATTGATGGATGATGAGAATTGATTATGATGATGATGAGATGCATGATGATAATGATGATGATGATGATGATGATGATGTATGATGATGAGATGATGATGATGAGGACCGAGGAGGGAGGGAAGGAGGAGGAGGAGGAGGAGGAGGAGGAGGAGGAGGAGGAGGAGGAGGAGGAGCAGGAGGAGGGTTTTCGGACGTGTTCGCTGGTTCTCGGCCGTTTTCCTGCCACGGGACGCTCTCCAGCAGCTGCGCCTCGCCGAGGGGGGTTCTGGGGGGGTGCCCAGATCCTCCGAAATGGCCGTCGGAGAGCCGAGCGATGACCCGAAAGCCAGGGGTCAACGCTAGGGGGATGGGCCCAGGGGGGGACGCATCGACCCGTTGTCGCCCATTGATCGCCGATATGGGGCCCGATGGCCCACGTCTTCCGGGAACTTCTTCCGGGAACTTGCAGCTTCGCCATCGGGGGCCCATCGCCGATCTGTCGGCGTCGTATTGCCGATTCCAGCTCGATGTGTTTTGCCCCCTCAGCCAGTCCCCCCTGGCGTTTCCCCCGCCCCCTCTCGTCCGACCCGCAACACCGGAAGAGGACGCGAGAACGGGAGTAGGAGGAGGAGGAGGAGGGAGGAGGAGGGGGAGGAGGAGGAGGAGGAGGAGGAGGAGGAGGAGGAGGAGGAGGAGGAGGAGGAGGAGGAGGAGGAGGAGGAGGGGGGCCGGCCTCAGCCCGCAGGGCCGCAGGCGCGCGGTGGCGCCCTGACGTTCGTGGGCAGCCCGCGGGGGGCTGCCCGAACACGAGGCGGCCCAGCACGATGCGCGAGGCAGATCTCGCCGCGTTGGCTCCCTCTGCGGCCCGCCGCGCCGCGCGGCGCAGGCGATACGTCGCACCCGAGGCGGCGGCGCACAGAGCTGCCCGCGTTGGCGCCGGCACCGACGTGACGGCGATGCCGCACGAGGCCATGCGCGCCTACGACAGCGACTCGTGCGACAAGGAGCTGCGCAACAGGGAGCACGCATGCAAATGCATCGTCGCTCAGGTCCTGGGCACTGGCGACTACGACGACGTGCAGGGCTACGGCGGCAATCTCGGCTGCGACGGCCTGGACGACTACAACTGCTACAACGGCCACACGAGCTACGACGGCTTGGACGCCTTCCAGGACTATACTGGTCTCCAGGGGCCACCAGCAGAACTACGACTGCAAGAAGCAGAGCTCCGAGAACCTCCGGCACAGCTACCAAGGTCACCAGCGCAGCTACGAAAGCAGGAAGCAGAGCATGGTGAAGTACCTGCAGAGCTACCAGGGCCACCAGCAGAGCTACGACGGCAGGAAGCAGAGCTTTAAGACCCATCCGAAGAGCTATGAGAGCCACCGGCAGAGCTACCCTGGCAAGAAGCAGAGCTACGAGGGTAACCACCTGAGCCAGGAGGGTCACCAGCACGGCTGCGAGAGCACCAAGCAGAGCTACGAGAGCAAGCAGCCGAGCTACGAAGGCAACTAACTATCCGAGCTACGACTGCGAAAAGAGGAATTCCGAGAACCACCAGCAGAGCTACGACGTCCAACAGCGAAGCTTCGA